CAATGAAATTTAAAGTCAAATAAACATAGGACCTGATTCTGCAATCCTTAGTCATGTAAGTAGTCCCACTCATTGAGAATGAGGGATGCAAGATTGGGTCCTTAGCTTCTGCTTAGGAAGTCAATGTTGATTCAGACAGTATCTTTTCTAGCCAAAAATATGCAGCAAAAGGAAAGTAACATAAACAAGGCTAAATGTCAACAGTGTTTGCAGACTTACAGACACCATCCATTTGTTTGTACTGAAATGACTAGTGAACCATTTGGCAAATACAATGCTATTCACAGACCGGCCCTTTTATCCAGTAACACAAACTTCACTGGATCACTGGCATTCCCAGTTAATTAAAAAAAGGAAGCAAGTCATATGAGTTTGGTTTGATATTGCCATGTAAATGGCACTGTGACATCCAGAAGTGCGGCTGAAACCCAGGCGTGGGGCCGAGGTGCTGATCTCCCGTTCAGCAGTACAGTTCGCACACTAAAAGCAGGCCTTGGACCTCCTAACTGAAACTAAAGAAACCTCTTCAAAATCACCGTACTGGGGTAAAGAAAAGTCTGCAGTAAAACTGCCATGTCATTTCATTTTGCCTTGAAGGAAAAGACTTCAACTGCAGATCAGGACAAAATGTTGAGTTGCTTAAGTGCATTACAAGATACTTTAAACGGGCAGGAGTACTACAATTTGCTGCAGTAGCATGACCTTCCATTGCCTCATAGCTGTTCTAGATCTTGGATATATCAGGCCTTTTGCTTCTGTTTAATACGGATTTTATCATTTTAAAAAGCTGCAATAAGGTTTCAAGTGAAGCCACCACAAACAATTAAAAATCTTTTTCTGTATTTTCTATGTTGCTGGTAGTTCTGAAGAGGTTAGCATTATAATCTTTTTGGTTTTGACACCTGTGGCAATAAGCAATTTACAACAACTAAATTCACTATTTAAACATTGGGGTAGAGTACTATAATTATGTGACAATAAAGCTGTAATAATCTGCCACAATCGATCTTCCCCTTGCCCAGCCCTCTTGTCTGTGCTGCAGTTCCATATTTGGAAGGTATTTCAGAAAGTTACAGCGCTGAACATTTTAATAATTCTGTGCAATGTTGAATACTTTCTGCTCCAAAGGAAACTGAAAGTGCTCAGCCCTTTGCAGGATCACAACTCCAAAGCAGCTACCATACGTTAGAAGGGCCCTGCCCTGTTTTCATACAGTGAAAGAAGTGATAATGGGGTGGAGCCTACGCAGGAGAAAACAGCACTAATTGCAGAGGAAAGCAAGCATGAATGGAAGCAAATTAGATTTATAGAGACAACATGGAACTAATACTTTTGGACATCATTAAGTGTGGGTTCAATAGCACCAACCCATTAAGCGACCAGCTAACGCTCAGGACTATTTCTGGCCAATAGTTCTGTAGCCCCCCAGCTCTTTGAAAGTAGGGAAATTTTACCATCTTTGACACAAAGCAGAAAAATTTAAAGGGGAGGAGAGAGAGAAAAGAAAGGGTCTTGTCATAAATAGATGCTGTGCAAATCATGTAAATTAATGACTTGGAACAGGAGGTAGAACATTATTGCGATACAACTACATGTATATGGGAAGACAAGCAGAGAAAGAGAACGTGAATGGAAAGGAAAACAGATCTTCCAAAACTTAAATACAAAGTAGGTCTAGAACCTCCGAGCATAACTTCTCGAATGAGCAAGGGCTGTAAAAGCAGAGTACACGGATGCTCAAGACAGCTACCAAGCCATGGAGCCATCGCCCTGGGCTTCCCCTCCACGCTGGGCTACTGGCTGCCAAGCAGCATGGAAAGGCATGTCGTCTTCTTAGAAACTGCGTGGTAGCAAAGATTAACAAGATCAGCTCCTAGGTATAGTCACTTGAGACTCCAAAACCAAGTACAGGTCAGGAGTAACTCTAAATTCATCAATGGTATTTTTTTCTTTCTTTCTGTTCTTTCCTATTCTGCTATATATGTAAAGGAGAAATACTACAAAAATTTGTGATTTTTCTCAGCAGCATTTTGACATGGAATTTTCTGTATTATGCAGTAATTATGGTTCTTTCCTAATTGTGTCTTTCATCCCTACAGCCTGAAGCATGATAGGAGCATAAATGAATTATGTGTACATCATCAGTCTCTCTCATTCTACATATAGGGAAACTGAGGACTGCTTCCCCCATGTGTGGTGACTTTCCGAAACAACAGTGTGAGTTGATGGCATTCTCCTCTAGAAATTAAACCCTTCTCGTGCCAAGATTTGTGCTTAAAATTTACCCATTATTTTAAGGTAAAATCTGCCAACTAAAAATGATCCACATGGATCACTGAAAATCCCAGCTTGTTTTTATGCAGCCAGAAATTTAACTCAATCAGCATGGCCAATCAAAGATGCAATCTCAGCTAACTGAAGCTAAGATAATTTATTTCGATTTTATTTCCACTGTATTCTGACTGCGGAAAGAGCACCACGCCTTGCTGTCCTGATTGTGCAAGGACTCTATCAAGTGTATCACTGTTCTCTCGAGATGTCAACAACCCACACATCACTGGCTGTAAAAAGAAAGGCAAATGCACAGAGTGTCCCAAAATACAAAGGAACACAAGAATCATGCCCTGGAATCAGGTGCTGGAGGTGGGTCTTAAGTTTTCTGATCTCTCAGGCAGTAGGAGAGACAAAGGGAACCATGACTAAGGTCATGGGCTTTGTGCAAGAGGGAAGGAAGGCTAATAAATGAACAGGGTCCTCCTGATGGCTAATCTGCAAGCGCAGAAACATCAGGTGAGATTTCCCGCGCTAGCATGCACAGATGGAGTGTGATTTCACAGTATAAAATGTCACTGAGAAAATTAAAACTTCCCAAAAACACTACTTTCAAGTGGGCGATGTCCAAGCCAACCAAATAAAAAAAGAACTACTGACACAGGGCTTGTTCATACTCATCCACTTTTGCTGTGAGATATTGAGAAAAATGAAATAATATATTTAAATAGTCAACCTTAATATATTCTGCAAACACTCAATAGAATGTCAGTAAAGAATTTTAAAAAGCTATTTTTGGAGGGGGGGGGGAAGAAAGGAGGACTCGCACTGCATTTTCCGTTAAAAAAAAGGCTTAAAAAGTAGAACAGACAAGCTTCTGTTGTGTTTTTTTTTTCCTTCATACTTCAAGTCAAATCCATTATCACTGGGCAGAGCTTGTGAAAGGGATATGGTCTTTAAAATCATATAAACTCAAGCCATCATAAAATGTCTGTTGAATTGATTGGAAGATGAAACAAAAAACTAATGGAAGTAACATGACCTCATTTCAATAATAATGTTAGAGGGGTTTTGTTGTTGTTGTTTTAAAAATCTTATGTCTGGGAAGAAATATAAAGATACTTTGTACAAAGCAACTACTCTTAGTTTTCCAATTTTTTTACTTGTCTGTTTAGAGAGTCATTTCTCTGCTGTATTTTTTTTTTGTAACTGATTGTACTCCACAAATAGAGAGAGAAAAAAATCCAAGTAGGATTTTACCAGCTGCAAATTAAATCAACTATCAACTATTTTCAAAATATCAGTAATGTAACTGCTGATTTTGAAGATCTGGAAATATTTCCAACTATCTGAATTGGTTCTTAGTGCATTGAGACACAGAAGTTTACAAGTAAGGCCATGCAGATACTTGGGCTCATGATTCAGTTTAAGTAATGACAATATTGTGAAGCCAAAATGCTCTAAGATACAATTGAGATAAACTTTGTGAGGAGAAGTCAGACTTTTTTATCAGACCAACTAATACACTTGGAAAAGCAGAGAGGGGCCTGAAGAAGGGGTTATGGCTTAAGCACATATACTATCCTAGTAAAGTCAAACAAAGCTCCCACTAACCTTAAGTTAACCAGGGTAACCACTCTTAAGTGTTTGCAGATTTAGGGTTCCATTTTAAATTGTTAGGTTTTATAACTGTTGATCACATTTTCTTTTCTTTTTTTAACTTGAATACATTTTATTATGCATGTTCAGCTCTGACAATGAGTTTTCTGATTAGTTTGAAGGTTAAGTGAAACAAGCATTACTGAAGTTTTTGTGCCCTTTGCTGACTCTGCTTTTTAAAGTGATACTGTTTTTCAAAGGATTTACACTCTAAAGTCTCTTTCAAACAAGAATGATGCTGACAAAATAGGAGATAAATTGAAAAAATCCTCATTCTCATTTGTTCCAAATAGATTTAACTTTCATTTTTGTCAAATATGATGTGCGTGACACGAGGAAGTAAAACTGCAGTTTTGTAAATCAGAGACTAATAATGGTAAAAGGTAGTTTTGTTTGTTTGGTGTGTTGTTGTTTTTTTAATTACCTGGTGGCATATTCTTAATTAGGCAAATCACAATTTGTACAACTGCTAGTTAGAATAGTGAAAATGACCAAGGGCAACTACTGTATGGGTGCCATTGAAACAAACCAGAAAAATATAATTAAAAAAAAGGGTCTTCACCACAGGTAGACGCATTCCATGCACTTGGCCTTTGATTTCATTAATGTGGTAATTGAACACACCCCAATTCAAAGAGAGAAAAAAAAAAAAGAGAGAGAGAGAAAGCAAGGTTTGCTTGGCAAAGCATCCAGTGTTTTTCTTGGGTTCTTACTTATGTCAAAATACTGAAAAGTTTGCAAGTTACCATGTAAATTTTTTAAAACTTTTTCCTCCTTTGAGTATGCTAAAGCAGTAAGTATCCCCTTCAGATGCCACTAGCACAGATAGTCTATATTGCTGCTACTCTAGTTTAAAAAGCAAGTTCTTTCTAAAATCCTGTATAAGTACATGCATGCAGCACTGCCGATTTCAATGGAGTAGACCACATATAAGACTAGAATTTGGCCCACAGGGTTTAACATTTAAAAAATGTATTACTAACAAACATGACTAAGTATATTTAAAGAGCAGCTTCATGATTCTGCAGAAGTGTTTTCTGAAATGGTCTAAAAGAAGGTCTAAAACTTACCACACAAGTCAGGTCTCTTGATACATCCACTAGTTGCTGTGCTACTTGCAAGTCCATTAAAGGCTGCTAAGCCATCAGAGCTGTAAGCTCTTAGGACTGACAACATGTTCATCTGCTTCTCCAGGACCTGTGGACCCTGAACTTGTTCGGGTTTCATCACTCCTTGTGCAGTTTCATGGGAGGATAGAAGATTCTGACTGTGCCACTGCTTTTCTGATGCTTGCGGCAGTGGTGATGTGAGCCCTTGTGTTGGTTGTGAGGTGACTGCACTTTGTATATTGTCGCCTCCTTCACTACTTTCTTTATTTAGGGCAGACAACTGCTTATTCATAATATCTGGTTCTGTATCAATGTCCTCATCTTCAATGTTTTCTTCCTTGGAAGATTCCATATCCTCAGATGAAGCTATGTCAGAAAGGTCATCAGTAGCACTTTTATTTACAGAGTCAGAGAGCAGAATATTTGGGTCATCTTCGGATTGTGTTTTTATTTCGGATTCATTACTGGTGCAAGAATTTTGTGTTCCCGTGCCAATAACACCAGGATAAACACCAAACTGCTTATAGAAGTCTGTTGTAAAATTACAAAAAGTGGATTCCATGTGGCTGGGCCAGGCAGTACTCTTTTGCTCTCCCAGGGTCTCTTTATTTTGTCCTTGGGTCATTTTCTCAGAAGCTGAGTCCAGCTGGCTCAGTATGTTTGAAACTACTGCCTCCTTGTTGGACTGCACAGAAGAGGGGAGCAAGCTCACTTTATTAACTGAGGCTGAAGCTTCTCTAGATTGGTCTTTGTTGTTCCCTATGATGTTGTCTTTACGTTTAGCCTTGCCCAAGTGATTGGCCTGCAGGTGCAGAGCCATTAGTTCCATAGATGAAGTTGTAAAGGAACAAAATAAGCAGCCGTGCCAAGCAATATTGTCTTGCACCGTAACAGATGAACCTGGGAGGGAGGCTGCATCTGGCCTTACAGATAAGTCAAGAGGTTCGTATTGTGACTTTTCTGTTTTTCGCTGTGAGGACTTACTATTTATCTTTTCCTCGCCACCATCTGAGCCCAGAGCTTTTGCTGAAAGTGGATCTGAGAGAGCTTTATCCTTCATTTCTTTTTCTTTCTTCAAGGAACTTAGGACAAAGCTGTCCATGAAAGCTTGCAAAGACCCTTGAAAGTTCACACCGTTCCCAACCATGTTCTGGTAAGCACGGCCAAGTTCAGAGAAGTGTGCTCCTTTGGAAGATATGTCTGAACCCTTCATATTTTCTGAAGATACTTCAGATGACATGCCAGCTGCTTGTCCTTGCTGATCTCCAGAAGACAGCATTCCTGATGTCCACTGCTGCGAGACCATGCCACTTCGGAAATCGATACCAGGAAGCCCCTTGAAGGCTCCTCTCAATATATCTGGTCTAATAAACACAGAACTTTTACTTGATGTCTCATCTTTGTGTTCTTGACTTGCCGTCTGCCCAGAGAGTGGTCCTGCTCCATTCTGTCGCTCCCGATGGTGCCGTTCTAAGTGGTATTTGAGGGATGCAGACTGAGTACCAGCATAATCACAATGCGGACACTTGTAAGGCTTCTCACCTACAGGTATGGATAAAGAGAAAAATATAAAGAAAGAGAGTTAACCGTACTTTGGTGTACAGATGAGTGAAAAAAAAAATCAACATTAGCTGCTTGAAAACAAGAAGATCTTAGAGCTAATAATTCATTTTTAAAAAAGAAATGCCTTTAATTGAAGACTAATTCATAAACTGAGTATTTCTAAAATGGGTTTGCAGAATGTGGGGCTATTCAGGAATGACATGGTATCTACACACAATTAGCCATCTTTTTCTTAATCTAACATGTAGAAAACTGTTGTAGAATTAAAAGCTATGATTATGAAAATGAAGCATAACAATTTCAACCACAGTAATCATTAAAAGTACAAGTTTAAAAAAAAGAGAGACAAAGAATGTAACAAATGGATGGTTGCAATATTTTGTGTATACAATTGCTCTAAAATTTGTTTAAATTATACAGATGAAAACCATTTTTAAACCTAAAAATTTTATGGCACTGTTACGCAAGACTGAAATGAATGATTTAAGTCTTGCTCTGCAGTAAATCATGGATATAATTAGCAAATGGCATACTGCACAAGTAATTTATCATTATTTGGAGGGCACCATTCCAGAAGGATTCAAAGATCTGCAGACCTACTGCATTGTTTCTAAATAAAGAACTATAAATACAGATTCTATAAAATATTAATATCATTACACTACATTACGATTGCAGCATGTAAGAACATATAGTTATAATAAAAAGTAGCCAATAAAATAAAAAAGAAGAGTAATAAAGAACTATAAATACAGATTCTATAAAATAATATCATTCAAAATATATTTAGTTTCTGTATTTGAAATTAGCATTATCTACTGGTTTTTGCAGTCCTTAAATTTGTACTAATGGCATTTCAAATGCTCAAGTAGTAAAACTTGTAATTTACCTACCATAAGCGCTTTTCTAGGATTAGCTTGAAGAGAGTTGTAAAACACATACGATGATTTTCATGAATTAAATATATATTTGAATCCCACACTAAACTTTTATTGTTCTTCCTATACTTTAAAAGAGGCAGAAGATATTACATGTATAATAAATATCCATATACAATCATAAAGACATATGCAAAAAGAATGTACATCTAAGCAAATGTACATCTAAATTTTTGCAGAGCAGTTGTTAGCAATGCAGAGTTCCTTTTAAAGGAAAAACTACGGAAATCCTCACTAAAAGTGACAGGAATCTGAAAGACATGCAAGCTGTCAATATTGGCAATTATTTCTATGGGGGAGCTCAACAAGAAGAAGAAACAGTTTTCTCTACGTAGCTTTTTTCCCTAAGTGATCCAAAAGACAAAGGCAAGCCTTCTCCAAATGGTATAACGGAAATAATTGTTTTGAAAACTTCCTCCACAGTAAAAATGCTATATAATATTAGGTAGTTCACCAAAACAGTCGGAAAGTTATCTGTTTTCAAATAACCTCAAAATCTGCCTAAAACAAAATTGAAAGGCTTTCAAACTTTTGTTATTTAAGCTACAGGCTCAACTGAAAGGCTGGTAAATACTTGGGAGCTGCTCCTTAATTGTTTTGAAAACTTCCTCCACAGTAAAAATGCTATATAATATTAGGTAGTTCACCAAAACAGTCGGAAAGTTATCTGTTTTCAAATAACCTCAAAATCTGCCTAAAACAAAATTGAAAGGCTTTCAAACTTTTGTTATTTAAGCTACAGGCTCAACTGAAAGGCTGGTAAATACTTGGGAAGCTGCTCCTTGCACTGATCGCAGGAATTTGCTAATGAGATGCAACACCAGAACACTCAAATGACCATACAGCACTGCGCGAGCAGGCTTAGTGACCATGAACAGTAGCTGGGTACGTGCTGCAATTCAGACGGGGCTGAAGTAAATTACAAGCAGTGGAAATTCTAAATCCATAATGTAATCCTAAAGCTAAACGGTGAGACATGAGAGCATTACATCAACCACATTAATCGACCTTTTTAGAGGAGAAAAGTGCAGCACCTCAAACAAGAGGTGTTCAGCAGAGGAAGAGGTAGTAATTAGCATGGTTCATGCTTTAGGCCTGGGTCCACACAGCTTAACAGAAGAAATCAGATTTAAACATTTCAGTGCAACTTCTGAGTCTTCCACGATCACCTAATTAAGTTCTGGCGCTCCACCAACGAGAAGCAGGGGCTGCGTTTCAGTGGGAGTTGTGCAAAAGCAAACAGTTCCTACTGACATGCAAGAATCACTAGAGACGGACCACGTCTGTCTGGGCTTCCCTGGTCTCAGGTGAGAGTCTGAGCACACACACCCCCATCGCAGGCGTTTTAGGGTAGGGACAAGGGGACAGAAGACACTAGCTGTCTATTTGTTTGCATTTCTTCAGGGCTGTTTGGGAGTGTGCAAACTCTGACAGCTGTGCTGCCAGTCAGAACGTGGACAAATATTAATGCTGTTTTACAGCATGTACATACTGCAACATTTTTGAGTTGTTTTCTGTTATTCTGATGTTTGTCCCACCAGTTACTGTCAACAGTCACCAGTGACCTCTGACACAACTTAGGTGCTTCAAGTGTTGCCTAAGAAGTAATCAGACTGGTGAAAAACAAGTACCAGACTTTATAAGGTTAAATGCTCTCACTTGTGAGTTTTCACTCCTCTTAATTGAAAAGCTCTTCCTCAGCATCCCCTATGCCTTTACGGAAATCTTTAACACAATTATATCGAGCACTTCCTTTTATTCTAATGATAGTTCAGTGTGTGTTTGCATTGAACATCAAGTGACACCATTAAAAAGTGTGTCCCGGCATTGCAGGCGCTGTGTCAACCGTTGGATAACTACTTCTGCAGGGAGGAGGAGAAGTTTGCAATATAGGCTGTACTGATGTTGCTAAAAACATGCAGGAGCTGTTCAAAGCAATAAGTATATGTAAAAATGGGTATAAGTGAGTTAAAATATGGTAACTAGAGGAAATACTAGTAATATTTTGTACTTCTAAAGTACCTTCAGTCTAAAGCATTGGGCACAACAACATACTTTTATTCTGAATTGCAAAGCCTTGAAGTCATTACATTTTCCGCTCAAAGGCCTCTCTGCTGAGTGAGCTTCCTTTCAGCAGAGGAGATCTGGACGCAGCTCACCACCGACGCCGTAGGCATTGGACTGAAAGAAGACGCTGACTGAGACAGTGTGATAAAAAGTTCAAATCTCTCCTAGCCTTGGTACACTGCCTCTGTGGTGCTACCACCTCTTGCATGGCTAGAAATGAGATCTAAAGCTGAAGGTCTGAAATTGGACTCAACATGTAGCAACACACTGTGCCACCTTTACAATACCGGACTGGCCAAATAACATTGTTCAAAGGGAACTATTCAAAATGTCTCTCTCCTCTTTGAGATCTAAATATTGGCAGTGATTAGTTTACTTCAAAGCAATCTTAACTGCTGCTATTTTGAGGGCAGACATTGGGAGAAAGGAGCAGGATGGAGTAAATCATCTTTGAATCTTTTAAATTAAGTGTGTCGGTATTTCCTAAATTCAGTAATTGTGCAGGTATTTAGATGCTATTTCATCCATTCAAATTAACAGTCAGCTATGCCCTGTGTAAGTCCCTGTACAAATGACAAAACCGAGTTACAAGCTGCTGTGGGAAAAAGCCCAACCTAAACTCAACCAAACTAACCAAAACCAAGCCAGTTTCAATGGAAAACCCAAAGGACCCCTAATTTCCAGGACTCTATCAGCAACTGCAACAGTATATGTCCAAAGAAGACTACAGGGGACGAGAGAGGTAGGCTATGATTCTTGTTAGAAGACAACCTGTTTGTATCTCATACTTTGAGGAAAGGTTTCAGAGAATTCATCCTAGTGTAATAACTACCCTGGTAATACTGCCAAGAGCAGAGTCTGGATGAGTTATTTAACACTTAATATCAGTTCACATAAATTAACGTTGCCATGTAGGAGTGAGGGAACATGACTTTTTCAAAATAATTTTCTGCATTTCATATCCAAGAGTCATTTTTCATTGCTCACAAAGGCAAGGACCATCCTGCTCTTGCTAATTCTCTGGCCCTGTTTGCATCCCTGCAAACCTTTTCACAATGGAGTAGAAAGAGAGAATATTCCAGTGTGTACAATAAATTTAAAAAAAAAAAATCTTATAGAGAATAACTTATCTGGGCAACATAATCACAGTTCTGATCTATCTACCGCTCTGGTTTACAAGACACAAGACATCTCACAAGAACTATTTTATATCAGGATAGAGTAAAACAATAAAAATTCAATGCTGCTTGTAAAATCTGTACAAAAGTTTGGTAGATAACTGGAAACAGACATGTTGCCCAGTAGAAACAGGTCTATTTGTATAGTAGGTTGTATAAACAACACAGATGTATATAATCTATGTAAGCTATCACCAGTCCTGCTCAGAATGCAATCTGATCATACTAGTCATAGGAATTATCTGCTACAGGCTGTGCAAGGAGACCACAGCCAGATTATAAATATATTTACAGATTTTAAGGCCAGAAGGGATAATTATGATCATCTAGTCTGATCTGCTGTACAACACAGGCCAAAGACCCTCACATGATAATTCCTGCGTCAAATCATAACTACAGTCTGAAAAAAACCTTACTTGTTTTAGTTTAAACATATTCTGTTTCAACCACAGCAATGAAGAACAATCTAACATTTCCCTAGGTAAACTGTTTGACTGGTTAGGTTTTTTCACTACTCAAAACGTGTACCTCATTTCTAGCGTGAATTTGTCCAGAGTCTGCTTCCTACTACTGAATATTGCTACATTTTTCCCTGCTAGATTAAACAGATTTTTTTAATTAAAAAAATCTAATCCCCAACAAAGGGACTTGCAGACGGCAAACCAGTCACCTCTTCACCTTCTCTCACTCTTGAGTGGAACACCCTGCCCAATTTTTCAATGTCCTTTTAAATTATGGGTATCCACTAAAGCTTTGATGAAATTTCAACTTGGTATTAATCTTATATAGTCCAAGA